CTTTTTTTACGCGGCCCTTAGAACAGTCCATTACCACGCCTTGGCCTAGCTCGGCCCTAATGCACATAAAAACTCACTCTCAATTGCCCCTTAATTCCATCTGCGTAGCATGATTGGGATTACCTATTACCAGCCGAGCTAAAACTTTAGACCTTTAACCGAGCTAAATTGTCACCGAGCTACCAATTTGTCCGGTCAAAAAACGTCTTTTCAGTCGCTGCATAACTGAATCGCTTATGATTCTCTTGGACACGTGGCAAGCCTTTATTGGTTAATTACAGCTACCATAGTCGCCATCGTACCTCGCAAAATTTGAACAGTTCTGCCCAAACTCACGTTTTACACAAAAAAACCCATTCTTTGAACAAAACACACCATTATTCATCTTCCCCCTCTTTACCCTCTGAGCCTCCATTTTCCTCAACACTGTATCTGCAAAGTTTGTGCTCCTGTCTGGCATCTTAATCGTTTGGAACTTCATCCTCTTATTCCAAGACTGTAAGTGACTCAAATCCTCATTTTTTCTGTTTATTTCGTGAATATATATAGTGTAGACGTATATATTCATATATTTTACAAAACAAACTCTTGTAGTTTTGATGAAATGGGTAAGAACAGATAGTACCAAAAACCAGACCCCCAAACCATAGGCTCGTGCTTAAGAACACACCATTTGGTTTCAAAAAACATAAAGTTTGAATCTAGAATCGTGGTGTAACCGAGCTAAAATCTGTTTAGGCCGCCCTAGGCTTAGGTACAACCGAACTAGGGAACTTGTTTGTATTTTAGGTGTGCACCCAGCCAAACTAAATAACTCCCCTAATGACCGAACTAGGACTTCACACCACACCTCAAGTTTCAACCGGTCTAAGAACCTTCCATTTCATTTAGCCGAGCTAAAGTCCTTTGCGCCAACCAAACTAAGAACAGATAGTATTCCACGTAGCCGAGCTAGGCTTATACTTATTTTGCCTTTGTACTTAACACAGTCCAACGATCTGTGCTTAACACTTTTCCTTTTTACTTTGCAGACTGACTTAGGTTGGCCAGGCACTCCTTTGAACACTCAACCGAGATACTCAACACCATCTCAACACCAAGCTAATTTATACATAATTTAAGTCCACATGGGCAAATATAGATTCCTAGTACACTCACCAGGGGCTATTGCCGAATTCCGCAAGGACTACAACATCCCTGATGACGTCCACCTTTCACTAGCCGAGCTAGACATAACTCCATGGAGAAAACAGGGCTTCGTTCCGTTCACCGTCCTTTCCATTGTAGAAGCCGGACTCTGATTATCTGTTCAACCACTTCTTTGTGAATTCCTAAGGTAGACTAGAATATACCCAATCCAACTCAGCACCAATTCTTACAGAATAATAAATGGCATCGCCGAGCTAAACCGCCAGCTTGGCCTCAACCTCGGTCTAGCCAAGTTATTTCACCAATATTCACTAGGCCAGAACGAAGACGACTTCTAATCCTATATCATTGCTAGTGAAACCCAAATCTAGGTTTAGTAATGTTAATGAGCTCAATGATGCTCCGAGTTTCTTTAGTCAAACAGTCTGTGTCAAACCTCCACCTCTAGTTATTCAAACTTAACTAACTGTTAGTTGCTATTGCCCGGATGAAACAATATCACTATGAACATAGCCTTAACTATCTACTGCCACTTGAATTGCCTCCTTAAATATGCCTCATGTTGGCTTGTGGATAACACACAAACTACATTTGAAGTCTGCTTTGATGAAATGAATTTTCCATAGACTGTAATGTCTAAAGCCTTGCTTTGATAATGTTGGTGAAAGAGAATGAAAAATCTTGGCAGTGTTTTCCTTAGACTAGGTTGTGAGAATATATATTGTGTTTTCCTTTTTGGTTTAGGATTTTTGGCTTAGGAATTAGAGTTCTATATTAGTACTTGTTATTTTGGAGGATTTTGAACAAACCTAGGATTTTGGTTTAAAATCAAAAGAAGAGTTTTCAAATGGGTGTATGGAAAATGGTTGTGGGAGTGGAAATGAGGTTAAGTTGCGACAAAATTGTTGATTGTGATACTTGGATTGGATTTTGGAAGAAAAAAGGGTTTTGCTCTAAATGTTTCTAATATTTATTTTGTATAAATAAATCAAATTACTGTTACAAATGTGAAATTGGATGGGTATTGATATGGATGGTGGAGTGGGATTTGTATTATCACTCACCTTGAAATTTGGAAAGTTTATCTGTATTGTGGATTTTATATCTATTTAGAAATATCTGTTTTGGGCTATCGGTGGAAGATAACTATGATTGTTGTAAAAATTACATGAGGATTAGGTGAATTAAAACTAATTTCTTATCCATATACATTGAACATTGTTGCTCATTTAATACATTGCATATGTATATAAATTTGAGAAAAATGGGTGAATGTTGGAAAGATGTGTGCATTATCAAATTAAGTTGGCATGCGTGTCCAGGGTGAAAGTCTCGAAAAACGAGCGTATACATGGGTGCCGATTCCCGTAGACAAAATATTCGTAAAATGGCAATAATAGTGCTTGTATAGACTACGTTTACATGAGTGCTGTTTGACGGTTTCCCGCGGACGAAATATCTATAAAAGGTCGTACTGGTTTGAGAATTCCCCCTTGTTTCCTATGGTAGAGGACATAATTTGAGAATTGTGATATAAATTGAGCATGGCATGATTTTGAAAAAAAAAAATGGAAGCCTTTTTAACATAAGCATTACATATGTATTTCACCCTTATATCTTTATTAAAATTCATTTATTGTGTTAGATTATTTCTATTGGGTTTTGGCTTACCCTATTTGGGAAAAATCATTTTCAAGTGCTGGTGATATGCCTTCACCAAGGACTTAGCTTGGGAAGACTGTGGAGCTAAAGGCTCAGTTTTATTATTTTGTATTCACTTTTGTATAAGCCTAGGGTTTTATTTGTATTGAGCTTAAGACTCATTTTCGATGTACCCAAGCCTTGACTTAGAAAGATGTAAGCCTTTAAGGCATATGGTTAGTTGTTTAGCTTTTGTTTCTTTTTACTGATTCGCAACACATGCCATAGATTCAGGAGGTACTATTTATGAATGTATATCGCATGTGTTACCCTTTTGTACAATCAAATCTCATGTAATAAAATGACGTCATACTCTGATTTATATGGTTATTTACTTATTGTCTTGGATGGTATATTGCATTTATTTCGAGGCGTTACAATGACAATGATTCCAAATAGTCAATTCCTTCAACGAAACTGCAATTGTTGCTTCCCGTCTACCTTTTGGTACTACAGGTAAAATTTGTCTAAAGTCACCACCAAATGAATAGTTTTCTACCAAATACACAATCATTTGAACAAAATTTTGTACCCTTTAGTATATCTCTGAAAGTACGATCAACTACCTCAAATCCATAACGATGATGCATTGGAATTCTGTACCCTTTAATTACAAATTTTTTTAATGGATATTTAAAAAGCACAATCATTTTTTTTTAAAAAAAAACAAAGTTAGTTAAAAAACCCAATCAGTTTAAAAATACAATCATCGTATTGAAAAATAAATGAAAAAATTACTTGCAGACTTTGAAGATTGTGTTGGAATAAAGATTGTAACTGTGAAGGTGTCAACCTTTCATCCTCTAAAAAAAGTTGTTGTAATAAATCTGGAATGAATATTTAATAAATTATAAAGTAGAAAATAAAAATAGAAAAACACACACACACACACACACACACAAAAATTATGTTGGTACCCATTTATTTTTTCACAAAAAAATAAAAACACACAAATAATCCCATGCATAATATGGGTGATATGGTAGTTAATATTTATATTGTGAAAGAGAAGATTAAATAATCTATTACTTGACTGAATAAGTTTTAAAAAAACACAGAAATTGTCACAATTCACACAAAAACACACAAAATGAAGTGTAAAAAACACAATCACATTTTTACTCATAATAATAATAACAATAAAAAAGCAATGAAGCCAATTGGTAATTAAAAAATACAGTAATTTTTTTTCTTCAAAAACATAGTTAGTTAAAAATTCAATCACAAATTAAGTCAATTGATAGTCAAAAAACACAATAGTTTTTTTTTTCAAAAAATATAGTGAGTCAAAAAAACCCAATTACAAATTTTTTTTGCTAAACAAAATACAATCTAATCATCATCAATAATAGATTGAATAAGTTTTTAAAAAACACAGAGATTGGCACAATTCACACAATTTTTTTTCTTATCATGTGATGAAAATGAAGTGTAAAAAAACACTATCACTTTTTTGTTTATAGTAATAGAATAAAATAAAAAAGCAATGAAATCAATTGGTGATTAAAAAACACAATTATTTTTTTTTTCAAAAAACATAATGAGTTAACTATGTTTCACAAGCCACAATTTTTTCCCCCCCTCATCATGTGATCAAAACAGAGTGCACAAAAATTCAATTACAAATTAAATTAACTGATAGTTAAAAAATACAATCATTTTTTTGTTCAAAAAACATATTATAAAGTGTAAGTGTAACTTAATTAAGATTGAGAATCTAAATCCCGTTAAGTTGGAAGGGAATTATAAAGTGTAAGTGTAACTTAATTGGGTTCACAGTTCATTTCAATACATCAATAAAATTCTCAGGTTAAATACCAATTTTCTCCTGTTATGTAATTCCGCATCAACATGCTACACCACTATCTTTGTCAAACCACAATATAGTATCTCACTTGAGCTGATAGCCAATGAAATATAGAAAACAAATTTTCAAGCATTAATTCACTGTACCAATTTGTCTAACCTAACATAGACTGCAAGACACCTGTCAGAATACAACTACACTGGATGATATTCCAAGGAACAAAAAGATATAGTCCCAATCCATCTGAGTAACAAATACAATTCTAACCTTTTCACTACATGCCAGCATATTCAACTGATTTTTGCACAACAAGATCAAACAAGTTCCCTCACGGATTTTTTTTAAAAAATGTTTCTTACCAGACTCCATCCATGTCTGATTCAATTCGATGCAAGCCTGTAAAATAACAACTAAATTAGCTAAATATTTTATTCTTAAATTTCAAACAACATAGCAAGATTACTCCCTCATTAATATAATAAACTATTAACCAAATGGCTAAATCACAGCTATCAAAAGATTAAATACTGCCTGTTATAGCATTACCTGATTTACAACCATCCTTGCTTCATAGTTATCCACACAGCTTAATACAAGATCCACTCCAATTCCTTGTTTGCTTGGGCAAAATGTTTTGTTTTTAAGACTTGACATAAAAGTTTCAAAACCTTGCAATGTTGTGATGTTCAGTGTATAACTCTAGGCAAAAAAACAAATTGATCAGTGTGGGACAATGACTAACAAAACATGACCAATAAAAATATCACTATATTTTGAATGTAGACAACACATTATACATCACATGATCTTTCCACACACACAAAACAAAGAAAAAGGAAAAAGGATCAAATGAGCAACCATAAACTACCAAAAACAAACTACACACACACACACACACGCCAAAAAAAAAATTACCAAGACTGGAAGAGGTTGGTCTGAGCACTCAAAGATACAAAGCTAAATGAGAAGGAAATTTCTACATTTCCATTAACTATACTACATGTAGTTTTATTAGAGGTCATTATGTCAGATTCTACACATCCATGTTGACCACCAGCACATATGCCTGTGTCCCTTGTTACATCCATGTTGGCCACAAGCACCTATGATGACATGGGGATGTTTGTTTTTTCTTTCAAAATGACATCCAGAAAGCCACGTGGATCTATTGTTGTCGTTGTAATAATTATTAAATGAAGCTACATACCAGGTATACAATAACCCAAAATTAGGTAGTGTAGTGGTTAAGCTATAAAATGCCTATAAAATATATATATACATGTATATATATATAAAGAGAGAGAGAGAGAGAGAGAGTTGTAGGAACATTAGATTTTGAAAGTAAGATAGGAGGGTTGTATATTGGTGCTCTAGTGGTGCTTGTTCATGGACCTATCTGAAGAGAAACATACACCTAATTTTCATTGAGCTTGAAACCCCATGGGGTCTATGTGGTTTTATAATTCTCTCTCTCTCACACACACATGTTTACGCATATAGGATGCATTAAGTGCAGTTACAGAAGGGGAGTGTTTGGTGCCACGTTCACATAAACACAGAGAAACTATAATAATATATATGATCAAAGAGAACAAGAACCATGTGAGCTATCAATGTGTCAAAGGCCATATACATAGCTAATATGGATCAGGATTAATCTCTGCAATGGTCTTGTTGTGTTATAGTTCAATAGCCTTTGTTCAAAATTATACCAAAATCACGTAATTTTAGTGTGTGAATTTTTTTTTTTTTTTTGATTAACCAAAAGAACTTTATTGATGAGGAGAACCTTACAACAAAGGTAAAAACACAACAATAAAGGAGAGAGGAGAAGAGGGGGAATGATGCAAAAAATGGCAGCACCAACCCAAGACTATGTTGATGAGGAACCAACAGAGACACCAAACAGAACAACAAGATCAAAAACAAAACAGCAGCTACGGCACCAGATCAATAACCAAGGCACCAGATTAACAGACTGCACCAGTTTAGCAGATTCTACAGAGGCAGCAGATTTACAAAATGCACCAGATTAGCAGCTTCACAAAATGCACCAGATTAGCAAATTCTACAGAGGCACCAGATTATGAAATGCACCAGATTAGCAGATTAACAGAGCAGACCCTCAGTGGAAAACACCAAATGAAACAAAAAACAAGATTTGCCCAACCATAAAGACCAGCAGACCCTCAACCCAGCATCACGTCCAGCAACCAGCATCCAACAGACTCCAACACCAAAGTTGCAAAACTACAGAACTACAGAACTATAGAACTACAGAAGCTGGCCAAGCAGACTCCAACACCAAACAGACACAACCAGCAGCACAGACACTTAGCAAGCAGCAGACCAAGCAAAATAGAACAAAAGCTGGCCAAGCAAAATAACAGAACTCCAGCACTACAAACCAGTAGACCCAACAGTCCAAACAAAACTACAGAACCAACAGACACGTAGCAACCAGACAGAATAAAAACAGAACAGAAACTGGCCAAGCAAAATAACAGTTAAATTATATTCAAGTTTTAAATGCCATTTTATTCAAGTTTTAACTCGAACCGTTAAATTATATATTTTGTTTGATGTATCTTATTGCGATAAAAAATACAATAATGTTATTGCAGGAAAATCATGATAGAGAAACTGAACTTCTAATTATTGAAGAGTGTTTGAATATTGTAAACTTTAAAATGCTATATGCAAAACAAATTAAAATTCTATAGGGAAGACTTTGTTAAGTTGAGATAGAGAACAGATGGGCAAAATGGGTGGTTGAGAGATCTTCTCACTCTAAAATTTATGTCTCCCGGTTATCAATATATTTTCAATTGATTGATAAAGTAAAAATCTCAAGATACAATTGTGATTAAAAGTATATTGGAACAAATAAGCATATATTTGTTTGAGGATGGAATATAATGACTTGTTTGGATGAGTCATGGTTCGTGCAAGTATTGATTCACACTAAAATCAATGACAAAATGGTGTATTTCTCAAGACTAATGTGGATAATTTTTATATTTTGGAAGAAAGCTATGTTACACATGGTCAATTGTCCATTTTAAGAGAAGAGTAGCACCAGCACCAACACATGCATAGAGGTCAAAGCCAATTTGCTTGTGTACTATTTTGGATTTAAACTTTGGTCAAAAAAAACCTACCGATACACTTGTGAGTGTGAGGTCAACTTAGTCACAAGTCCAACTCCATAACTTTGACAATAATAACTTTCTTTGTTCACTACTTGGCATATGTGTTTTGTATATTAACTTCACAAGAAAGCAAAATAATAGAACTCCTCCCAAGGTTAGTTTGAAAAATCAGATTAGCTTCTATTTAGACTCATGTGATGTTTAGAAAGCAGATAAAAAGTTATTTTTTAACTGAACAAGTCAAAATATTAGAAAGAGAAGTTGTCTAAAAGTCGCACACAAAAACAAAAAAAAACCTAAAATTTTCAATTCAAATTCTATAAGAGAAGTTTTATAGCTGCTGTTGAACTTACAACTTCACTCACAAAATTGACTGAATTTTGAATCAAATTGGAGAGAAGCCATGTCTTTAAAAATAACATTTTTAAAAAATCAACCATCAACTCATTTTAACCTAATATTTTACCCCTAATGAGCCAAATCTATCATTTTACTCTTATCATCCCAAAAGTCATCAAATAATCCAATATGTTAACATAAGGTACAAAAATTGCTCGCGTGAATCAGATAAGCAATAGTCCAACACTAGAACACACTTGAATGCATAAATTGCTCAAAATTTCAATCAACTTACCGATTCCTCATGCGAAGCTGCGAATGCGAAAACCGACCGGTTCCTGAAGCCATGACGACGGAGAGGAACTAGGCCGAGGCGGAGCTCCCTAGGACAAACGGTGCTAGCCGAGATTGAGATTTTGTGAGGTCGTCGGAGAGATTCAAAAAGGAGCTTCCTGGGACGCCGTCGTCTGCCATGCTCACAGTCGCGAGAGAGAGAGAGAGATGGGGCTAGGGCAGGAAGGGGGAAGTGATAGGATTTGACGTTTGAGTGGGAAAGGGGTCACACCATTCGTGTCGGGTGGGAATGGAAAAAAAAAAAAGGGAAGGGGGGAAACCGAGCGGGATTGGGGAAAAAAAAATTAGTTTTCATCACAAATGAATATTTAAAAAATAATTTTATTTTTTTGCGCGACGGAGGTTGCCGTTGCTAAACAAATTTATTTTTTTGTTAAAATAATTTTTTTTATAGTTAATGAATTTTTTTTTTGATTTTTGATTTTCTTTTAGTTACTAAAGTTGAGAATTTATTTGTTTCATTCTTATTTTAATGAATAAAGAATTATTTTTATTATTTTTTATTTGGTAGAAATAGGAATAATATTTTAATAAAAAATATTTTTTATGAAAATAAAGTTATTTTTTTGTGGTCAATGAAAAATATTTTTCTGTGACCCATCTTTTTTTATTACTAAAAATCAGGAATTAATTTTTTTGTAGTGGAGGATAGAGACCGATAGTAGTGGTGAAGGTGGTGGATAAAAGGTGATAGCGGTGGTGGCGACAAAGGAGATTAGTGGTGAAGTTATGGTAGTGGTAGAGGAGATAGAGTAGCGGTAGTGGAGGTAAGGTAATGGTAGTAGTGGTGGTGGTAGTGAAGTGGTGGCGATAGTGGTAGTCGTAGAAGTGGAGTGGCAATAGTGGTAGTAGTAGTGGTGAGAGAGAGATGGGTGGTGAGAGAGAGATGAAACAATTTATTGACTAGAAGAGGGGAGGGAGAGAGTGAGAGAGAGACAAAGTAGTCGCTAAAAGTGCATTTTCTTGTAGTGGATTGATAAATCGAGAGGGAGCTCGGTAAATAGAGAAGAGGGAAGGAGAAGGTGAGCAAGGTGAACACAATGGGAGACAGACAGACAGACAAACACATAGAGAGAAGAGTGAGAGACAGACAGACAAGCACAGAGAGAGAAGAGTGATGAGTGAGAGAGAGATAGAGAGAGAAAAAGATATAGAGATAGACAGATAGAAAAAGAGAGAAAAATAAAAGATAAGCGAGAGATAGACAAAGAGAGAGAGAAAAAGAGCGAAAATAGATGATCGAGAGAAATACATAGAAAAATAGAGAGAGAGAGAGAGAGAGAGAGAAGAAGAAGAAAGATGGGTGAGATAGATAGAGAGAGAGATTAAGAGAAGAGAGATGTGCAAGAGACAGAGACAAAGGCAGACAGAGAAGAATGATGAGTAAGAGAGAGAAAGAGAAGAGAGAAAGAGACAAAAAGAGAAAAAAAAGAGAGTGAGAGACAGAAAAAGAGACAAAGAGAGAAGAGAGATGAACGAGAGAGACAGAGAGAGAGGTAGAGAGATGAGAGATGAGCGAGAGAGACATAGAGAGAAGAGAGATGATCGAGAGAGACAGAGAGAGAGACATAGAGAGTAGAGAGATGAGCGAAAGAGACAGGGAGAGAAAAGAGATGAGAGAAGAGATAGATGAGTGAGAGACACAGAGAGAGACATATAGACAGACAAAAAAGAGTGATGAGTAAGAGAGAGAAAGAGAAGAGAGAGAGGAAGATAAAAAAATGGGTGAAAATATATAAACAAAGACAGAGAGAGAGAGAGAGAAAAAAAAGAGCGAAAAGAGATAAACGAGAGAGAGAGACAGAGAGAGATGAGCGAGAGAGATAAAGAGAAGAGAAATAGAGAGAAAAGAGAGATAGGCAAGAGACACAGAGAGAAAGAGAGAGAGGGACAGACAGACAGATAGACAGACAAATAGAGAAAAGTAATGAGTGAGAGAGAGAAAGAGAAAAAGAAAGAAAAGAGAGACAGAGACACGAAGAGAAACAAAGAGACAAACAGACAAAGAAGAGTGGCGAGTGAGAGAGAAAAGGAGAATAGAGATAGAGACACATAGAGAAAGAGAGAGAGAGATAGACAGACAGAGAACAGTGATGAATGAGAGAGAAAAAGAGAAGAGAGACAGAGAAAGATGAAAAAATAGGTAAAAAGAGAAATGTTTAAAAAAGTAAGACGACGTCGTTTTTTTTTTTGTGACAGAAAAATACCGTTGCATTTATTTAAACCATTTTGTAACTATATATATATATATATGTGAAGCCGTCTCAAAGCCACAATATATATATATATATATATTTTTTTTTTTTTTGCAACGGTACCTATTACAGTTGCAAAAAACTCTCTTTTTTTTGTGATTGCAGTTGGTACCGTCGCAAAAACTCTATTTTTTTGCGACAGCAATCTCTGCCGTCACAAATACTCTTTTTTTTTTACGACAGCAATTTCTACCGTCGCAAATACTCTCATTTTTCGCGACAGCATTTTATGCCGTCGCAAATACTCTATTTTTTGCGACGGCAAGTTGTGCCGTCTCAAAAAGGCATATTTTTTGCGACGACAAATGTGCCGTCACAAAAAGTTCCGTCTCTTAAGCCCTCTTTTCTTGTAGTGAAGTAATCTCATGGATAATATGGGTGATATGTTATATTGTGAAAGAGAAGGTTAAATAATCTATTACTTGGATGAATAAGTTTTTAAAAAATACAGAGATTGTCACAATCTACACAAAAAAAATTTCTCATCATGTCGAAACAGAGTGTACATAAACTCAATCACAAATTAAGTCAATTGATAGTTAAAAAATATAATCATTTTTTGTTCAAAAAACATAATGAATTAATGTGATAACCCAACATGTACTCTACTTAATTATGCATGTGATTATGTATTTGATATGAATTTGCAAGTTTGAATATGTGAATTATGTGAATTTGGAATAATATCTGTTAAACGTTGGAATATATGTTGTAATTACAACTTTGAATTGAAATTGAAAACCTTAGAGGTGTGATAAACAAAAACCGACTTCATATCTATGATCAGCATGATTTATAGAGCTTACGGTGAAATTTTGAAATTTTATGATTCGTAATGATTAAATCATGTTTTGTGAGTTGGGTTATAACTTATATATGTGTTTAGCCTTATGTTCTTCATTATTGGTTGAGAGCTCTAGAGAGTGAGTTAGAGAGAGTGGAAGAGGAAGAAAGCTAGGGATTTTGAAGAGAATAAAGGGAAAAACCTTAGATTTGAATTAAGGTATGTTAATTTACTTACAATCTTTGTCTTTAGCTCATCTTGGTCTTGGAATCAAGAAGGAGTTGTGAACTTTGAGCTAGGGTTTTGAGTTATGTAATGACTAGAGCTAAATTCATGGAATTGAACCCTAATCTCTTCATCTTTGTTTGATTTGAGTTTATTCTTGTGATTGATCCATGAAATAAATCCTAGATGGTTAATACAAACAAGATTTGTTAGAAGATCATTCATGGATATGTGTATTTTGAACTTGTCTATGTAAATCATGAATTTGTGGAAAGATGAGGCCATGAATTTGATGTTGAAGCAAGATTGATAGGTTTAATATAGAATTACACTTGTATCATGCTTGTATATCATGTTTTTGAGGCAATTTTGTATGAATTTGGGCTTGAAAATGAGGTTAGAGAGTTTGCATTTTTGTGCCATTTTTGGACTACCTATGTGTGCCCAGACTGCTTGTGCGGCCACAGGCTCCGCACAAGCGGAGCATGAACAAGATTAGGGAAATTGGCTCTGTACGCTCGAGCGGCTGGAAAGTGAAGCCAGACCGCTCGAGCGGTTGGACCGACGGCACGTGCGGCCAGGTAGGAGGGAAAAATCTATTTTTTTATATTGATACTCTCAACCTCCAGAACGCATTCCCAACCTTATTTAAACCCTTTTGGGAGTGAATGATGATTAGAAACTCATTAAAGAAGGTTGTGAATTATGAAAGATAAGTGTATGAATTGAAGCAAATGATTTATCGAATGCGTGTGTGAAATGTTGTGCAGGTCATGTGACAGAGGAGACGCCGCGAGATCGAATACATTGTGAGTAATAATATTGTACATATATGTTCTTTATTGTGTACCTCGAACCATGAATGGTGAATGGTGCCGATATTGTGATTTGATCGAAATGAAGAAACTTCACTTATATTATATGACATGTGCAATGTAGGCCCAAAGTCGTTTTGATATATGATTGGGCCCGAGGCCGTTTTGATATATGATTGGGTCCGAGGCTGTTTTGATATATGATTGGGCCCAAGGCTATTCTGTTTATATGATTATGGATATTGTGAGAACCTTATGATTATCTATTTATATTGCTTTACTGTATTATTACTCATTGAGCTTCGCTCATCCAATATTATGTATGCACATGTAGGTGATCTGCAGTATGGAGCACATCCTTATAGTCAATTTCAAGAGCTATTTTTGTGACCCAATCGAGTCATGCCTCCGAGACGGAGTTTTGTCTTTGACTCACACCATACCTTGACTCTATTTCGTCTTTGCTATTATGGTCTTGGGTTTGGAAGTAATATGTACAAATTCCTATGGTACTTATATTTTTGCATGGGCATGTAAATGTTTGAATGTGTTATGAGGTTGGCTTTATAATTTTGCTCATGTTGGCACAGCTTAATGGACTTCTCATTATTATAGGCTTCCGTTTATAGCCCCATTAGCATAAATATTCTGTATGTTCGTTTGAGGCCTTTGATAATTTACGGATTACTGGCCGGTTATGACCCAAACCTTTAAGAGCGGGTTTGGGTCCTGACAGTTAAAGAGCCAATTACAATTTTTAATCATCAAAAAATATAGAGATTGCCACAACCCAAATAATTTTTTTTTCTCATCATGTGATCGAAATGGAGTGTGAAAAATACAATCATTTAAAAATAAAATCACTATGTGATCAAAACGGCGTGTAAAAAAACACAATCATATTTTTGCTCATAATAAATAAATAAAAGTAATGAAGTCAATTGGTAATTAAAAAACACAATTATTATATTTTTTTCAAAAACATAGTGAGTTAAAAATCCAATCACAAATTAAGTTAATTGATAATTAAAAAGCACAATAATTTTTTTTCAAAAAATACAGTGAGTTAAAAA